CATCATGATCAAGTAGGTTTCATCCCAGGGATGCAAGGTTGGTTTAATATATGCAAGTCCATAAACGTTATTCACTGTATCAACAGAAGCAAAAGCAAAGACCATATGATCCTCTCAATAGATGCAGAAAAAGCATTCAATAAAATCCAGCATCCTTTTCTAATTAGAACACTGAAGAGTATAGGCATAGGTGGCACATTTCCCAAGCTGATCAAAGTTATCTATGACAAACCCACAGCTAATATTTTACTGAATGGAGTAAAACTGAAAGCTTTTCCACTTGGAACTGGAACCAGACAGGGTTGTCCTCTATTGCCACAACTATTCCACATAGTGCTGGAAGTTCTAACCAATACAATTAGGCAAGAGAAGATAATAAAGGACATCCCAATGAGAGCAGAGGAGGTCAAACTCTCCTTCTTTGCTGATGATATGATCTTATACTTAGAGAACCCCAAAGACTCAACCACAGAGTCCTGGAAGTCATCAAAAAATATAGTAATGTCTCAGGATATAGGATCAATGTCCACAAGTCAGTAGCCTTTGTATACACCAATAACAGTCAAGATGAGAGGCTAATTAAGGACACAACTCCCTTCACTATAGCTTCAAAGAAAATGAAATACCTAGGAATATACCTAACAAAAGAAGGAAGAACCTTTATAAAGAAAATTATGAAACCCTAAAAAAAGAAATAGCAGTGGATATTAACAAATGGAAAAACATACCATGCTCATGGCTGGGAAGAATCAACATTGTTAAAATGTCTATACTTCTCAAAGCAATCTACAGAGTCAATGCCATCCCTATTAAAATAACAACACTGTACTTTCAAGACTTGGAAAAAATAATTATTTGTTTTGAATGGAACCAGAAAAAAAGCCTGTATAACTAAGGCAGTTCTTAGTAATAAGAACAAAGCTGAGGGCATCACCATACCAGATTTTAGGCTGTACTATAAGGCCATAGTGGTCAAGATAACATGGTACTGGCACAAAAATAGAGACATAGACATTTGGAATCAAATAGAAAACCAGGAAATGAAACTAACATCTTACACCCACCTAATCTTCAATAAACCAAACAAGAACATACCTTGGGGGAAAGATTCCGTATTCAATAAATGGTGCTGGAAGAACTGGATATCCACATGTAAAAGACTGAAACTAGACCCACACCTTTCTTCACTCACAAAAATTGATTCAAGATGGATCAAAGACCTAAATTTAAGGCATGAAATGATAAAAATCCTCAAAGGAAGCATAGGAAAAACACTGGAAGATACTGGCCTGGGGAAAGACTTCATGAAGAAGACTGCCACAGTAATTGCAATAACAAGAAAAATAAACAGATGGGACTTAATTAAACTGAAAAGCTTCTGTATAGCTAAGGAGACAACAACCAAAGCAAACAGACAATCTACACAGTGGGAAAGGATATTTGCATATTTTGAATTAGACGAGAGCTTGATAACTAGGATCTATAGAGAACTCAAATTAATCCACATGAAAAAAGTCAACAATCCTATATATCAATGGGCAAGAGACATGAATAGAACTTTCTTTAAAGAAGACAGACAAATGACTAGCAAACATATGAAAAAATGTTCAACATCCCTCATTATTAGAGAAATGCAAATCAAAACCACCCTGAGATATGATCTAACCCCAGCAAAAATGGCCCACTTCACAAAGTCTCAAAGCTGCAGATGCTGGCATGGATGTGGAGAGAAGGGAACACGTTTACACTGCTGGTGGGACTGCAAACTAATACAACCTTTTTGGAAGGAAGTATGGAGAACTCTCAAAGAACTTGAGCTAGACCGACCTCCCATTTGATCCTGCAATCCCATTACTAGGCATCTATCCAGAAGAAAAAAAAATCATTTCACCACAAGGACACTTGAACTAGATTGTTTCTTACAGCTCAATTTACAATCGCTAAAATGTGCCTTAGTGCCCACCAACCCAGGATTAACAAGCTGTGGTATATGTACACCATGGAATACAATTCAGTCATTAAAGAAGATGGAGACTTTACATCCTTTGTATTAAACTGGATGGAAATGGAACACATTATTCCTAGTAAAGCATCACAAGAATGGAGAAGCAAGAATCCTATGTACTCAATTCTCATATGAGGACAGTTGATGACCTAGTACACAGTGGGGGGTGGGGGAAGGGGAGAGCAGAGAGGGAAGGAGGGGGATTGGGGGAAAGGAAGAGCAGAGGGGGGTGAGGAGGGAGGGGGTAAGGAGTGAGTGACACTGTGTGACACACCTTCTGGGCACGGGACACAATAATAAGAGGGACGTTATCTAACAGATGCAATCAAGGCAACCTGGTTCTTTGCACCCTCACTGAATCCCCAACAATAAAAAAGAAAAGAATTCGCTAATTCATTGAATGGGGTATTATTATTCAGCCTTAAAAAGGAATAAAATTCTGAGGCATGCTGGATGAACCCTGAAAACATGCTTAAGTGAAATAAGCCAGTCTCAGAAGGACAAATATGGTGCCATTTGGCTTATGTGATGGAGCTACACTGGTCAGACTGGTAGCAATAGAAAGTAGACTGGTGGCTGGTCAGGCTGGGTGGGTATTGAGAGAGGAGTTAGTGTTTATTGGGCACAGACTTTCAGCGGGGGAAGATGAAGAAATTCTGGGAATGGATGGTGGTGATTGTTGCCGATACCGTGAATCCACCTAATGCCACAAGACTGTACATTTAAAAATGGCAACGTTCACGTCAGGGACATTTGCCACAATAAGAAAGTAAGATCCAACTTGAAGATACTACACGAGACCTACTGGAACCTCCCAGCCAATGTACTAAAGCAAGAAAATAAGACAAAAGCCAGAAGTATTGGAAAGGAAGAAGTGAAATTATTATTGTTTACAAACGGCATGATGATTATGTACATAAGAAAGAAAAACATTGAATCTACACACAAAAAACCCCCACTAGAATTAAAAAGTGAAATCAGAAGTGTTGGAACCCGTAAAAAGTCTAATTGTTGTCTTATGTGCCACCAGCAAACAATTGAAAAATAAAGCTTTTAAATACATTCAAAATGTTTTTTAAAAATTCACATCCCTAAAAATATATCTAATAAAAAATGTATAAAATTTCATCTGGACTCAAGGGTGCCCACCTGTAGTGCTTTCTGGAAGGCTGAGGCAGGAGGATTCCTTGGGCCTGAGGGACACAGCAAGACCTTATTGTTCAACAAAAGAAATTCTGTAAAATGTTCCTAGTGGAAAATTAATGCAGAACTAAATTAATGATTACAGACAACTATTTGAAGACTCATGATTCATTATTTCAAGATTGATTTATAACTTTAATACAATCCCCATTAAAATTACGGTTAATTTTTTGTAGAAATTGACAAGGTGATTCTAAAATTTACATAGAGATGTAAAGCAACTAGAAACAATCTTGAAAAATTATGTCCTTACTGAAAATTTTACTAAAAGGCTACACCAATCCAAACAGTTTTTTAAAGGCATAAGGATAGACAAATGAATCAGAGGAAGCAGGCGTCCTCAAACTATGGCCCGCGGGCCACAAGCGGCTGCCAAGGACAGTTATCTAGCCTGCTGGGTGTTTTTGCTGCCACTGCCTGTCCTGCTTTGCAGCCAACTTGACCCAGGGCCTGCAGTCTGGCCCTCCAACGGTCTAAGGGCCAGTGAACTGGCCCCCTGTTTAAAAAGTCTGAGGACCCCTGGAGGCTTTGGGAATAGGTCCTTACGTATTTTTTTCCTTTTGGCCAGGGTTGGGTTTGAACCCACCACCTCTGGTATACGGGGCTGGCAACCCTACTCCTTGAGCCACAGGCACCAACCCAAATGATTTTCAATCAAGGCACCAAGTCAATACAATGGTCAAAAAAAAAAAGATCTTTTTAAAAGCTGATGCTTCTGGAATAATAGTATATTCTTATGGGAATATACTATCCATATATACTATGGATAGTCCAAGATATACTATCTTATGGATATATACTATCAAAATGAACTTTGATCCCACTTTATATACAAAATTAGTTTAAAGTGGCTCATAAACAAAAACCAGAACTATGAAGTTTCTAGAAGAAAACATAGGAAAATATCTTTATGACCTCAGGAGTATGCCAACCTTTCTTGGGAAGAACATGAAAAGCATTAACAAAGTATTAGTAAATTGGATTTCATCAACATTTAAAATTGCTACTCTTCAAAAAGTACCGTTATTAAATTTTTACAGTTCAAAAGACACTATTTAGAAAGTAAATAGGCAAGTCATGTCACTGATGAGGAAAAAAATATATTCACAGTATAGATATGACAAAGAATATATTTGTATCTAGAACATAAAAATATCTCCTAAAAATCAACAATAGAAATTTTTTAAATAGGCAAAAAGATCTTAACGCTTCTTCAAAAGAAGACAAACAAATGGCCAATAAGTATATGAAAAAATGCTCAGTGTCTCTAATCACCAGATTGTGCAGATTAAAGCCACACTGAAGTATCATCTCACACCTGTTAGAATGGCTCTTATCAAAAAGATGAAAATTAGGGCAGCGCTTGTGGCTCAAAGGAGTAGGGCGCTGGCCCCATATGCTGGAGGTGGCAGGTTCAAACCCAGCCCTGGCCAAAAAACTGCAAAAAAAAAAGAAGAAGAATTTAATAAATCTTAAGCTGATTTTAATTTCATGTGAGCAAAAGATGAAGAGATAGGCAAGATTTTTTTAAAGGATTATAAGAGAAAAACAGCTCTCCCAGCTATTTCTAAAAATACTTTGAAATAATTGCAATTACATTAGTGTAATATGGGTGTAGAAATACATAGATAAATAAAACAATTTTTAAAAAATCCAAAAACAGACCCGTATATGTAAGAATTTGGTATATCCATATTGGCATTTATAATCAGTTAAGAAAGGATATCCTGGGGGACCTGCCCCTGTGGCCACGACCAGGATACTGCTGTTCGTATAGGGACGGCGAGTGCGGCTGCCGCGTCCATTGGGTACCTCGTCCGAGCTCACCCGCCTCTGGAGGAAAGAGCCAGACTTCTCAGCGGTCGGTCTGTTCAACAAGTGGGACCCCAGGGCCTTCTGTATGTTCAGCAGAGAGAGCCTGCAGTGACCTCCCCAAAGGATGGCTCCATCTCCATTCTGGGTTCTGATGATGCCACCACTTGTCACATTGTGGTCCTGAGGCACACAGGTAATGGGGCAGCCTGCCTGACACATTGTGATGGAAGCAACACCAAAGCTGAGGTCCCCTTGATCATGAACCCCATAAAATCCTTTTCCGACCACACTCAATGTGGAAGGCTAGAAGGGCACCTCCTGGGAGGCTTCAGTGACGATAGGAGGCAGTTGTCACAAAAACTTACCCATCAACTTCTCAGTGAATTTGACAGTCGAGAAGATGATAGTCACTTAGTGACATCATGCGTGACAGAATTAAATGGCCGAGAAGAAAATGAAAACCACTTCCCAGTCATTTATGGCATTGCTGTTAACGCTAAAACTGCAGAGATTTACAGAGCCTCTTTTCAAGATCGGGGTCCAGAGGAAGAACTACGCACTGCGTGGGTTTTAACAGGGGGACCAATGATTAGCATTTACGATGCAAAGACAGAACAACTTCGGATAGGACCTTATTCCTGGATGCCATTTCCTCATGTGGATTTCTGGTTGCAGCACGATGATAAAGAAATACTAGAGAACTTTTCCACGTCACCTTTGGCTGAGCCGCCCCACTTTGTGGAACATATTAGATCTACCTTGATGTTTTTTTTTAAAAAAAAAAACCCATCTCCAACTAACAAGCTGTTTCCCGGAAATAAAGCTCTACTCTACAAAAAAAAAAAAAGAAGATCTTTCTTATGGGAAAAGATCTCTTCTCCAGGAAGCTAACCATAGGATATTACCAAAGAAAGCAACTTTTTGGCATGACAAAGACCATTGATGGGGGCTGGAAAGAACATGGATTTGGAACCTACATCCATTGAGCTCCTTTACTTGGCATCTTTCAAATGACTTTCAAAATAAATCTTATTTTGGCAAAGGAAAAAAAAAAAGAAGAAAGGATATCCTTATTTAACACACAGTGCTAGCATAAATATCTATTTGGGAAAAAATAAAACCAGTTCTAAACATCACGTTATATAGAAAAAATAATGGCAAATATACTAAAGAGGCTAAAAGTAAAAAAAAGAAAAATTAAATGAGAATAAAATATAAAAAATTGTAATCTTTTTTTTATTGTTTACCTGTACAGCTGTGTGTGTGTTTCCAGATTAATATATGGTACGGATGGTTAGGTTACAATATTAAGGTTACTCAGGTAAGGTCCCTGTTGTAGCGTGACCCTCACCCAGGTGTGCCATAGACCGTTACATTGTGCCCATTAGATGAGAGTACGCCAATCCTCTTTGGTTTTTGTTTTTGAGATGAGTCTTACTTGGGACTATAGGCGCCACCTACAAACTCATTAATTTTTCTATTTTTGGTAGAGATGGGGTCTTGTTCCTACTCAGGCTAGTCTCCAACTCAAGGCATCCCCCACTCAACCTCCAGAGTGCTAGGATTATAGCCATAAGCCATCATGCCTGGCCAAAAATTTGTAATCTTAAGATTGTAAAGTGGTTTTTAAATCATAAAATTCTAAGATTCAAAATGAAAGAAATAGATTGACCTAATAGAACAACAACAACAAAAAAAACCCATAATGATTATATTTACCATAAATTAGGTTAAAAGACTATACTGGTGAAAAATATTGGAACATAAAACAAATGAAGAATTAACATTCAGGTGTGGCACCTGTGGCTCAAGTAGCTAAGGTGCCAGCCATATACACCTAAGGTGATGTGTTCGAATCCAGCCTGGGCCTGCCAAACAACAATGACAGCTGCAACCAAAAAAAAAAAAAATAGCCAGGGGTTGTGGCAGGCGCCTATGGTCCCAGCTACTTGGGAGGCAGAAGCAGGAGACTCTCTTGAGCCCAGGAGTTGGAGGTTGTTGTGAGCGTAATGCCACGGCACTCTACCCAGGGGGACAGCTTGAGGCTCTGTCTCAAAAAAAAAAAAAAAAAAAAAAAAAGAATTAACATTCAATCTCCACACAAATCAAAGATTATGAAAAGGCAACTGGCAGAAAAAAAATATAAAAACCTATCAAAAGTTATCTGACCTGACTAATAATCAAGGAAAACCATACTGTTATATCCTGCTTATTAGACTAATAAGAATTTTAAAAATTTATCAGAACTAGTATGAGCGAGGATGGAAGGAAATAAGCACTGTGAGTGGACAAATTGCTAAAGGGAATTTGGGAGCGTTCAATAAAATTTCATACCCATATGCCTCCAGCACAGCTGTTTCACTTCTAAGAATCTGTTTTACAAAAATTTTGCCCACGTGCACAAATAAATACATTAGAATTCTCATTATAATATAACGAGAAATAATATAAAACATTTAAAAATAAAAGTACCTATTAATAAAGGAGTAATAAGCAAATGGTTAAGTAAACCATAAAAGACTCATAAGGAAAATTATGCAACGATTGCCAGAAAGAATGTACAAAAATCTCACATACATACAGTAAATTGTTAAACAATGTGTTCAGTGTGAGCCCACTAAAACATTTTGATTATGTGTGTGTTATTACGTAAACGTTTAGAAAAGAGTGGAAGGATACACTTCGGAAATTAGCAGAAGTTATCTCCAGGAAGGGCAGTGGGAGCAATTAAAAATATACACAGCTTTACCATTTTGTTCTATGGGGTTTCTGTCCTTGGAAGCTTTTGTTAGGTTGCCCCTCTTTAATCAGATTGGGCTGTGTGGAATTGCTGCTTATTCTACTATTTCGACCTCCCAAAATGTCAATTGCATAATATTCAATTTAAGCGAGTAAGAATTTTGTGTGTACTGACTCCATAATTTAAATAAATAGATTAGAAAAAGACAAACGAAAGGTATACACTGCCTTGGGGTGGAGTTAAACAAGTAGCATTAATTACGACTCTAAGGGTTTATGAGAGGCTGGTCCAAAAAGAGGGCAGCACCCAGTCATTTCTCATCTGACACAGCCGCCCACCCAGCATGTTGTCCTTTCTGCCATTTGTCTGGGAGTTTTACCATCTTCCCGGCTTCAGACAGACCACCTCCTGCCTTCTCCTCGACCCGCAGACCCTGGCTATTGAGTGTGACACTGGTCTCAAAGCTGTGCATTTCTCTTTGGCCACATCCTGACGTTGTTATATGCTAGAAATAAAAATTTCACATTTTCCAAGGAACACTGGAAAATGTGATCGTCACTATTTCTGCACCTCTGTTAGTAATTTTCTAAAATAATGCTGAGTTCTGCGGCATATTACGGTAAAAATAATGATCCAGGAATCCTTCTTTTTTTTTTTTTTTGCTATTACTGAAAACCCCATTAGCAATCTTATTTGAATAGATTGAGCCTTTTCCTGTAACCACTGCAAACAATTTTAAATCAGTCCTTTTTTCCTAATTGAATATACAGTTGTTGAAAGCTTTGCTTATTAAAAAAAAAAAAAGCCATGCATTTCATGATCTTTGAACTGATTACTAAGAATGTTTTAGTAAAAAAAAATCTCTTCTAGTCTATTAAAAAATGGAAGGCATAGTGATTCACTTTTTAAAATGTCACCAAAGTAAATTTGAATTTTTGTAGCTTAGATAACAGTGTTAGGTTGATGGTGACTTCCTGACTTTATTGCACTGTGGTTTCTAAGAACAAGTTCTTATTTGTAGGAAAAACACACTGAGTTATTAGGAGGTAAAGGGTTATTATATCCACATGATATGACTCTAAACATAACAGGAAAACATTATACACACACATATAGAACGAGAGTCACAAAATGAATGATAAAGCTAGTGTGATAATATGCTAACATCTGGTAAACGTGGGGGAAGTTCAACAGGAATAGTGGCACTGTTTTGCAACTTTAAGTCTGAAATTACTTTTAAATGAATTTTTTTTTAAATTTTCCCCCTAAAGTGATTCATGGATTCAATAGTAACAAATCCTACTGCCCCTAAGAGCCTCTGTGCACAGGTCACAGGCCAGGGCTTCACGAGGTCCACTTCTGATTGCAGTTCTCATCAAGTGGAATCATTAGCCCTGTGGTACTGCGTATGTGAGTGCTGCTCTCCGGTGCTTATGCTCAGCCCATCTATTGGTTTAGGGTAAGGTGACCAGATTTTAACATTGGTAAAGCAGGACACCATGGGGTGGGGTGGGGCCTTGGGGACGGGGCCTGACAATAATGCAAACTTCGACAAGCAGTTCTGGATAATCAGTTCTCAACAATTATTTGTTATTATTAAAGTTTAACATTATAAAATTAACTAAAATAACATAAAGCTCATATCCTGGCGAAATAGCCACATGGCAGCTGAAAATCGTATATTCTCTTCCTGTTCTCCCGTGCTCCCTAGATTGTCGTGCATTCGTTTCCAAAAATCGGGACTTTTTTAAAACGTCGCGGGATGCAGGACAAATTGTTAAAAATCAGGACTGTCCCGCCAAAAGCAGGACATCTGGTCACCTTAGTTTAGGGGATATTCTAAGCCTTCACCCCTCTCTTCAAGCCCCCTCCCTTCCACATCCCCTCCAACTACGCCCTTATTCCCTCAGCACATTCATTCCTTTGTGCGCTATTTAATTCTTTCTTTTCTCTTCTATGTATCCAATCTCCTCCGCTCAACTGACGCCCCTCAGGCCATACACTTGAAGAGGCTCCCATCTTATTCTAAAATTCTTAACTCTATTCCAGGCTCTAGTCCTCCTTTCAGAAGCTTTTGAAAAGAATAACCTACATCCCCAACCAACTTCCCATTCACACCGAAGAAGAAAGAAGATCTGTCTATCTCCTACTATGTGATTTATTTTTGCCATTTTTTTTATAGGCTTCCAGTGAACAGAGAAAAACTGCATTACGAAAAAGACAGGGATGCTGTCCAAAGAAAAGGTAAACTTTTTTCCCTGGTATGCCAAACACACAATGAGTAAAATAAATCACTGCTTAGTATCTACAGACAAAGCATTCTATCTGGTTTTAACTACTAGATTGTTCAGATTCTGAACAAGAATCTTTGGGGCCAAAAATACAAATTCAACCATCAGAAACAAAATAAACACTAAAGACAAAAGATTCTTAAAGTAGTAAAATGATACCAACCAATGTTCCAGGGGGTTTTTTTTTTAGGTCATATAAAATACTGGAAACAAAGTATAAGGAATAAGGGCTGCTTCCAGCTGGATCCAAGATCTCATTTTATTGGCAACAAAGGATAACCAAATATCATCACCACTTAAAGAAGACTTAAAACACAGGACAATGCAGGGCTCTGTTTATTCCTTTGGACGCTAAGTATCCCCTGGATCAGAAAGGACACCCCATGGAACCACCTTCTTGAGTTGAATGAGCCGCTCCCAGTTGCCACCTCCCTCCAGAAGGGACTCCTAATTCGTTTCCTCACCATTTCCTGGGCCAAGCCACCCCTCCCTGCATCTGGACACTTACCACTATGTGAGGGCAAGTTGGAGTCACATGAACAGAGGGAACATTCAGCATTGTTGAATGAAAGGATAAATGAATGAATTGTGTCTCCAGTGCCTCGCACATAGATGACATTTTATGAATATTTCTGGAGTGAATAAACTCGCAACCCAAAAGACAGAACGCAGGGCAGCATTCCTGGCCCTGCAGTTACAGCCCCGGCCCTTCCCCACTCACTACCCAGCTCACACGCCCTCCTTCCTCAGGCTTACCCCATCCTTGGGAAATATTTGAGGACTCCAAGAAGGGTGAAGACCATAAATTCATGTTTCCCCCTAGATTGCTTCAGAGCCAAATACTGATAAAAGCAAAGAACACAGAGGTGTTTGGGGTGGGCGTGGGTTTGGGGGGGGGACTGGCTCCGTGCCATGAAATGCAGTTTCCTTTA